GCACTTATAAATATAGCTACGCAAATGCAGACGAGGTGAGTAAAACCAATCGGTATCCTTTCGGCAAGGGCCACTCATTGAAGTGTTTTTCGAGGCGCCCAATAAAGGACTCTCCAACAAGCCTGCTCCCCAACCCTGAAGGGCACTCCAAAGCCCCAAGAAAAACCAACACGAACAGCACTACGAGATTCAAAGTTTGCACTCGAAGTGCGTGTGAGGGAAATCGTGCGAGTGTTTGAGTGAGTGAAGTGCATGTATCGGACATTTTGATTAGCTTTGTGACTGGACGTCTGCCGGAAATGGAAATACAACAAAAGGGGCGCCCTGCCGAAGAGTAGGTATATTAGTACCTGAAACTCATTACTTGCCAAATGAATAATCTGAAATTATTGCCACCTTACAGTGTGCTGTGACTTAGGTGGAAAATTGCACGAGCTAATATGAATCAAGCTTCATAACTGGAAAATCCATCACCCAAAATAAATTCAACTTAGTTTCAGCCAGTCGAAGTAGGCCGGAAGCGGACCGGAAATGGTAACGCCTCATCCATCGCAGCTACGGCTGCTCGAGAGCCTACGTACCAAAATCGAAATCACACTGTTCGACTCATGAAGGGTCCTCGACAGCCGGTGGATTAGGAGGGGCGTTCCGGGGGCTCATACGACAGGTGCCAGGTGCCCATGCAACTCATGGCTCCTTCGCCCGCCCAGCCAGCCAGCTGATTCCGACTCCGGCTCAAGTTTGGCATGAAACAACAATAAATATCGCACCGCACACTGAGCCCCTCCAATCCCCAACACCCTTCCTCCACCACACACACTCACTCACACCCACATCCACATGAATACCACACACACGACGCAAATTGCTTAGCATACTTTACGGCTTCAATTGGCAATTGGCAGCCTTTGAATTTTGTTTTTCCCCCGCCCACCCAATCGCCCCACACCTTATCCTTTTCCGCTCACATGCCGCAGGCAAGGGGCTTTTGACACGAGTTGGTTGACGGCTTAAGGGGGCTGGGGGATTGGTGGATTGGCGGATGGGGCTGGGGGCCGGGACAGCCCCAAGAACGCCGCCTGCCTGTCAGCTGACAAGTTGGCAACTTCTGTTGTTGTTGTCGGTTCTGTGGAATTCCCCTTTTTGCTCGGCGCACTCAGAAAAATTGCAAGCAACAAATTTGGCATCAAAATAGGCAAGAGAAGCCCGGGCAAGAGGTTTCACTGTATCTAGTTAAACTGCGAACATCGTAGTGTATAGAATAGCATGATCCCTGCATGGACCTTATGAAGAAGGTTCCTTTAATCTTTGAAATTGAAATTCAATACACATGTTCTTTGAAATAGAGGTACAAGTCATAAACTCCATAAAAAGTTATTTTCATATCTTAGCACATAGCGTTTAGGAACTCCTTTTATGGCAAAGATTCACAAAGTGGTCAGTGCCGTTTCTATGGCATTTTCCTTAATTTGACCAATATTTCTAGCCACTAGCCCATAGTGCGACTGGGTGCAACGCCGAGAAATATTTTGGTAGCTGAGTTGGCTGGCCCGCTGCGAGTTCCTTCGACCTTTTCCATCGACTTTCAACAGCTTATGACACCCTGCCTTATTATGACCGTCATGGCTGTCAAAATGGGAACCCTTTCCCCAGACACTGTCTAATATCTTCATTAAGCCGGAGCGCTTCGGTTGCGTTCCGTTCCGTTCGGTTCCACCTTTCCCAGCTCGCAGTTTCTATTTGTTTTTCCCGCAACCTTACCCCGCAGTCGCACCTGAGCTCCTTCTTGACAGGCCAGACAGTTCAGGTGTAAAATAGTTTGCCACGTCGGGCGGCTGCGTTTTTGGCCGCCTATCTCTTTCTCCTCTTAGCCGCTTATTGATTTTCCGCCTTCACAAATGTCAGGACAATCACTCTGACGTCTTGACTTTGGACCTCAAACACCCGCAAACGGTCAGATGTATTGGAAAACAAAGGGCATGCCTCTTCTCAGTTTTTCCCGCTTTTCCAGTGCCTCGTCCCACGAATTTTGCGCCAAGTCATTGATTTTTGAGATATGGTGGGTAGGTGCCTCATCGGATCTGAAATCCTTTCTCATTTTACAAATCATTTTACCTAATTGCTTTGGTTTTCTCAGTAATCCTTATGGCCAGCTATGACCTATCCAAGGTCAGTCGCCTTCGCATCGATTTTTTGTATTTGTCTCGCAGGTGATCACCCTCGCAGGTGATCCTAAAATTATGGTATTTCGTCGAAAGTTCCGGCCTAATGGGTTATTTCATAAATGTTTGTACTACATCTACACCAATAAGCACTAAAGCGCGCCAGCTCATCTCGTTTGAAGTAAACTTCTTCCTTAAAAAAGCAATCGCTTACGATGCGAAAGATTATTCCCAATTGGCCAAGTCTGGGAGACAAAAGTTAAAAGTGTTCATTTTCCAATGCGCCGCTATCAACAGTTTGATAACTTTGCAGACATTAAATCGTTCACGGTTTGCAAAGCGTGAAAAGAAAAGCAAACAGCTGAATGGAGAACTTGTGATAAGAACTCTTGGCTCATGCTCGACATCAATCTGTTTTCCCCTTCTGCATTAAGTCAACAATTTGATATGCATTTTGTTTTGCTGCTGCAAACACATTGCTCTCTGTCTTAGTGGGTTTTGGAATTTTCAAAGTTGCGTTAAGCCCCGGTGCTGCAACTTCTGACAGCCGGTGATTGAATGTTTGGCAACGACATCGGGGATTAACTCGGCAGTTATCCTTATCAGCAGTCCGATGGCACTGGGGCCATCCAGACGCTCGTTGGCCAGACTTGGCCCTAATTGAAGTGGCAACTTACTTTAAAACTAATTCCGGGCCAACACGCTTTAGCCATATGTTTGTTCTGAAAGTGCGCCTGTGCGGATACAAGGTATGAAGTGTGTTTGTTATTGATTAATGCCTGAATGGCGTAGTCTTCCCGATTGCCCATGCATAATCCCTAAACGCAACTTTTGCACATATGTTTTTATAAGTTTTTGCCTTTTTGGTGTCACATTACTTAGGGCCTTTAGTTAAATTGACTACGCGCAGAAAGTAGAGTTTAAACATGACGTTTTTATTGCAAAAAACTTAACTTTATTTGAAATGGCAAACTAAAATCAATGTAGGTTGCCTCGAGCTCTTGTGCATTTTTGTGAATTTACCTTTGTAAAAACGTAGCTATTGACTTTTCCCATTAATTGAAATATAAATAAACCACTGATTTTCAAGCAAACAAAGAAGAAAAAAGGAATCGAGTACAATATTTAAAGATTCGAATGCACATAAGCCCATAGGGCTTTATCGTATCTAAATGTGATTAAAAAATGTCATAATCAGCAGCTGCTTTAATAGCTAAAATATAGGTAATTTTAATCTTTCATTGACAAAAGCATATTTATAATATTTATTTTATCCTCTTAGATGCTACGATCTAAACACTTTTTTTCAACTTACTTTCCGTTCATTGGGATTTTTTTAATGAAAAAATAAACTAAACTAAATAGATTTAAACATATACAGCTTTAATTAAGAAGGCATTTCTAAATGTTTTTTAATGATGTCATTTCTTGTTACTCGGGCTAAGAATATTGTAAAGGTACACCCAGAAAAAAATGACCGAAAAAGTTAAGACCAATTTTTTCTACTTGAATACCGTTTACTTCTTATTATTTTTTAAGATTCTTTATTTAGATTTATTCATACATCGATACAATTCGGTATTGATTTAAGAACAGCCAAACAATTGTATGACAATTGTATACCATTTGTAGAAAAATAAAAACAGTGGACCATTTGTGTAAAAATTAAAACTAAAAACTAATACCGTATAATCCCTTGATTATAAGTTAAGATACAAGCGTGACGTTAGAGTCTCTCCAATATTTAACAGAGTCTCAAAATAAGGAAGTCATACCTCCTTTGGGGTTACTGAAAATCTGAAAAGGTATAATAATTAATACAGGTTTAGGTTCCCTTCGGAATTTGAAAAAATATTTATTATTACTTCCTTGAATACCATCACAATTTATTAAATAATAGTAATTATTATATGGTATGGTATAATGGCACTATATTCGTTATATTGTCTTCAAGCCTTCGAAAACTTCCACGGCAATGAAGTAAAGCGTTTCAATAGATAAGCACCATTACTATGTTGGTTAATAAAAGTTGAATACATTTCGCGGTGACATGTTGCTTTAATTTGTTAAAAATTAAAAAAAAGTTACATTCGCTTCCGTTCAGGATAATTAATTTTTTCGATAGCCCATTTCAATTTTTTCCACAATAACTCTTTTGCGTCCGAAAACTTTTGTAGTTGTTTACATGACCCCTGACCCCCCACGGAGTTCTGCTGTTAGGATCCACAGCCCGTTATTTACCTTATGTAAATGAAAATGTAAATGTAAATGCTTATCAACAGGCAGTCGCGCTCCGTCTTATACGCCGCTTCGGCCGAAATTACGGCAGCCGAAGAGAGCGCGAGCTCGCTCTTAAATCACAGAACTCTCTGCTACAGTTCAAGTTAATACAAAGTAACGTTGAGTTTGTTTTGTTTGTGTGGGCGGGCTGGGCGGTGAAAGGTGAAGCAGGTCCAGAAATGTAATCAATAATTTTAAATATTTAATGCGCCAGTGGGAGATTTTTTCCAGCGAACCTGGAAAATGGTTATTATGTTTTTTAAAACTATCTCGGCAAATGTGACATTATCTGTACTAAATGTTGCCTGTGAAACTATTCGGCTTTATTTGTATTTACAGGCCAGAATTATGGACTCACCTGTGCCAGCAACAACTCTCCTCCCTCCCACCTCCCACTCTCACTCTGCTCCCACAACAAATGCGATCCACATGCGAGCGAGTTTGCGCCAACGACGAAAGAGAATGCCGCTCTTCTCACCTACTCTTGCTCGCACTCTTTGCGGTGGCAGGAAACGTCGCGCAAGGAAATCGCAAATGTTTCCTCTTTCGTGTGCGTGTGTGTGGTGTCCTCCGCGCTGGCGTGTGTGTGTGTGTGCGTGCGTGTGGATGACATTGTGGCGCTCGTTGAGGCAGCTCCAGTTGACGGGCCAGTAGTCGTTGCGAAACTTTTGCTGGAGCAACGCGTCGGACAACTGGCGGAGTTACACCTATCGTCATCGGCTATCGCCAATCGGCTATCGGTAATCGACTATCGATTGTAAACTATCGTTATCGGCTATCGCGTGTGTTGACCTTGGTCGTGATTAGTGCTTACTATAACTAAACCATGTGCAACGTCATCTTGCGAGCATTGGATCATCCGTGGGATTCCAAAGGCCTCCGAATGTCCAGGTGAGTCCATATGCTTTCCCACCCTCTTTTGCCACCCGGGTGAACCGAGTGCCACCCCGAAAGTTAGCCTTGTTTGGCCTAACTGCAGTTAGCTAAAGTTAAACGAATCCTACTGTCGATTTAATTATGTGAAAATGAAAGTTCTGATTTCGTTTTTGGGAGTTCAGCTCATCCTAATGGCGTGATTAACGGTAATTCGCGTTGTCGGGATGAATCCAATAAAAAGTTTAAGAAGTAATTGAAACTAATTAAAACTATGGTCACCGAAATATGCACCTAATATTTGCCAACAGCTTTATGATGCCATTAAAGACCAGCCAAAATTTGAGGGGGTGAAAGTTGGCGGCGAATCAAATTTGAAAGCTCCAACTTAAAATTAAATTATTATTTGCTCTTCCTTAACTTGCATAACTCAGACCACTAATTGCTAATGCTCTTAAGAAAACAATTTCAAATGGAGCTCATAAATGAAATCATTAGCATTTTGCCATGTTAGTGGCCAGCAAATTCGACTTAACTTGTTACATGCCAAGAGGCCATAATTATTGTGATTGTTTAAACAAACTAATAGATTGATTAGGGCTACTCACAGCTCAATAGTTGAGGTTTATGGGACCTCGTAATTATGATAATCGAATGCCCTACTAAGTGATAGATACAAAGCCCATAGTTCGGGCAACAAAAGGTATGTAAACCATTTCAGCGCCCAAAAAGCCCGCAGGCATTAAGATGCCAGCTCAGATAGGCGACGAGGTGATCGTGGGAACGACCTTTGACCCCTGCCAGTGCATTCGCTTTTAATTAAATGAGAGAGCGGACAGTGGAGGCCAAAAGTGACTTTTCAAATGGTCAGGCAGATAAAAGTGCAATAACTATAAAGCGGGGGTGGCGCAAACGCTATCGGTAGTCGGATCCTGGGGTCGTGGACTGGGCGAACCCAAACACGCAGAAATTTGTTAAGCGGGTCACGTAGTCCGGGAAATCCCATGCCATCCCAGCCAGCCCCTCTGGGTGTTGTCATCAACACGAAAATAAAAATAGGAAATTAAACTTGAAACGCGCAAAATGGCTACAAATGCTCTTGCTCTGCGCTGTGAAAATCGATTTCAATAAACTTTAATTCGTTTTCGTTTTCCCTCTGAAGCCATCGGAAGTGGAAACCTTGAAAATGACGCAACAAATTAAATGCCAATAATTTAAAACAATTGCCGACTCGAAATACCAAGTAAAAGCAACCTTAAAACGCGACCAGTGCGAGATAGCGTTTTGTTTATGGCTTTTAAATCTAATTAAATTCCCATAAAGACCGCGAACGATATAAAAAACAGCGCCGCACGTAAGAGTAAATACTCGTAAATAAAAATTTTTTTTGAAACTTCAAACGGGCTCAACGACTACCAAACCCCGCCAATAATTGGAAAAGACATCTAGGGGGCGGCGAATGCAAAACGACGATCGGCAACAAAGGGTTAATGTGGTGCAGTAAGTGCGTGTGACAGTTCGCGAGGGCAAACTCAAAAGGGGTTGATGTAAATTGCACTAATGACCAGCATTTTGACTTCGAACAGCGCTTCATAATTTGGCCGAGTGATTCGTCGAACGCAACCAACGACTTGTGTCGCATTGAAGCGCAAAACGCAAACACAAAGCCCTGCCTAAAACCTGTTCAATTTTATTCACCGACCACTCATCGCTTGGCGAATTATTCACCATTTGAAAGCGGACTCGCCATCTTGAGACCTCAAGGTCTCAAGGTGTCAGGCATTTCTATCCACGTTCCTTGTAGCTGTCCATTGAAATGAAAGCCATGATCCTGGAAACAACTTGCACATCTTTTACAGTTTTGGGCTTAAGAAGGAAGATGTTTATTATATCTATCACATTTCATATCTTGAGTACTTGTCTTAAGTCGCAAACTTCTAAGCAGGTGTCAACTCCTGGTAAAAGTTATTTTTTTACGAATTGCCCACAACAGGAACGGGTATCTTATAGTCCAGTTCCAGTTAGTTATCTTAGCTTGAATCGACTTTACATTTAAATGCCGTCCACGAGTTTACTACCTACCAAAAAATACAAGTCTTGATTTACCCGTTATACACTCAATATAGAGAGATATTAAATTGAGTCCGAAGCTGCGCCATCTACACTTAATATCTTATTAGTGAAATAGCAACAATAGAAATTAGACCCATACCAAGATCAGTTCAAGACTAATGGGGTCTCATATAAGCCATATAATGACTCGTCATAATCAGGCGGCGTCAATCAGAGCGCTAAATGTTTGAGATCATTATTCACACGCTCAGAACAAAAAACTTGTGTCATTCAACCTCGGGGCCGCTTGTGTTGCGAACATCATTTTGAAAAAGCTTTGATAAGAGCAGTGCGTCGGGTCAGTGGGTGGTTGGGTGGCGAGCGGTGCGTTCTCCGCGGCGCTGGGAGGAGGGCTCCATATTCGGAAAAAGCTCAGAACGAGACGATGGCAAGCTCACTGCATGTTTGATGGCATGGCATACAAGTATATAACAAGTAAATCGCGCTAAATTTCTCTCAGTCTCAGTCCGCGAGCGGGGCACTTGCGAAGATGTCAGCGATCACCATACGCGCCATGAGAATGGAGGATTACGAGGAGGTCGAGGCCTTTCTCGCGGTGCACTTCTTCAAGCAGGAGCCGCTGATGCTGATCCCCCAGGAGGATCCCAGGCAGAGCGAGGTGATTCCCGCCGAGGCTGAGCTGCACCGCTCGCTCATTCCCCAGGATCTCTCCCTGGTGGCCGTCGACGGGCAGCGCATTGTGGGCGTGGCTCTGGCTGGGGAACAGGTGCCCGAGGACCTGGAGAGGGAGTACCAGGAGGCTGAGCACAAGGAGGTCGCGTGCCTGCTGGACAAGATACACAAGTTTCTGGCCGGGATCGAGCGGCAGGCCAACATCTTCGAGCACTACGGAGTGGAGCGGGCCCTCTACCTCTACATGCTCGGTGTGGACACCTCCGTGCGGCGTCAGAGAGTGGGCACCCGCCTGGTGGAGGCCACCATTGAGCTGGGTCGCCAGCGGGGATACTCCGTTGTGACATCCACCTGCACCAACATGAACTCCAGGCGCCTCATGACCGCCCTGCACATGGAGTGCGTCCTCTCGAAGGACTACGCGGACTACAAGGACGAGCACGGGCAGATCGTCCTGCGGGCATCCGAACCCCACACCTCCGCCAGTGTCTTGGCCATACGACTGTAGGAGTGGGAAAGGTACCAAAGAATATAGCGCCACAGCCGAGTTTTAACCTCATGTGGCAAAAAGCGTATGTAGATAGACATTAGACAATAAAGGGGGAACTCATAAGAAACTTAACCGAATTGGATAGATAAGAAAGCTCTAGAAAGGGTAATAAACATCATATTGCTTTCAGTTCCAGTTTATAGGTAATCAAACCATAGTCATAAGTGCTTGTTGTTGACTTGTAGGGTGTTAAAAATAAATAAGTAAGCTTGCAATTAAGTATTTCGCAGCATTTGCCCATCGGATCGTAACTATTCCACATAAATCACTTGGGAAATATGTCCGATTTGTCCGTGCGATTTAAACTGTGGGATAAGAAACCCTGCGATTTGCTTTGGCCCAACATGAGCAGTTAAAATCGTAAACGAGGACAGCCACTTCTGCCCCGTCGAGTGGCACATCCCACGAACTTTGCCCTCCCATTAGCTCGGCCTTGCTGCGGACCCACTTCATCGTATTTCATCTTCTGCGTCCATTAAAGGGACGGAGCACTGTTGTCGGCACTGTGGTTGCCCTGCTCTCATTTTTCTGCTTTCGCACTAAAACTAATTGTTGTTTTATTGTGTTTGTAATCCAATCCTCTGGCGCAACGCTTGCCACATGCGATGCAGTCGGAACCCATACTTGTATACACATGGGCGAGGGATTACTTCCCATCTTCGTCTTATCTGTGATTACACATGAAACATATGATGATATAACATGTGCGTTGTTTTGGTTTCGATTGGCTGCGAAGGCCGAGCAGAATTATGGATCTCATTTGGCTACCTTGAGCAGAAAGCTTTCTTTTCGCGCTAATCGAGAAGCTTTTTTGGTATTCTTTTCTAAAAACATAGAAGCTGTGGCTATTCTCCCACATACTTTGTACTTGCCGCCGAGTTCTGTCGATGAAGGCTCATCGGAATGGCCCGTGGTAACACAGTTAGCAACTTGAAGGATTAGCATTCGGTACATAAAATTTGTCGAAAACATAAAAATTCATTTTAGAGTAAGCTTGTGCGGCTGGAACTGCAACAGAATATTTTGGAATGTAAATGGAGTCGGGGGACCCAATTGGAATGGGTCCTCCGGGTGGCCAGACAAAGTCCTGTCTGGTTGAAAATTCAGCAAACAGACCAAAAACCAACGTAATTTACATGTCTGCAGGATAAGTTCGACAAGAATGGAGCGGGAGGGGAAAATCTGAGGAAAGTCAGAGGGATTTTCAGAACCGCTTGGACTGGACCGTCTGTTTGCCATGTTTCGCCAGACTTGTAACAGTTGCTGCTGACCCCTGACCCCTGACCCCCAATAGAAAAATTCGACAGGAGGTAAAAGCGCCTAGTCTCAAATTGCTTAATCAACATTGAAGGTTGTAATATAGAGCAATCGATTCGCGATTCGCAGTCATCTTAGCAACCCTTTAGCCAGGTTCTCGGAAGCTCAAGTTATAATTAAAAATGGCTGAAAAAATGTTTACAACAAAGTCGCCAGCATAATGCAGCAAAATTGCCCGAAAAGAAAGCCGCTGGCATGGAAAAACATCCACAGCCCGCAGTGGAGGGCACTGAAGCCATGTTAGCCCGGCATATTTGCAAACCGCCACAGTTTTAGGTGCACTGAAATTTCTCCAAATATTTGCGCAAGTGAATTTTTGATTTATGCTAGCAAAGCGTGACCTAAAAATTTTTTCATACTCTGCCAAACTAATTAAAAGTGAAAAGTTGACATTTTCTAGTTGAATTTTTGATTTATGGCGCGAACTTCCCAACCGCAGCGAAAAATTTAATGAAAATTCAATCAAAGTTTGCGGCACTCTCCGTGAGTTTGGATTATTTTGCGGCACTGGAAACTTGCAACATATGGCTGCCCAGTTTTCCAGTTGCCCATCTGCCCTGTGTGGCCCGACCTCCATCGGTTTTGTTATTGTTTAAGTGACCCTAATGAAGATTAATTTAGAACAAGTGCTACACTCTCTGCGTGAGCGTTTGTGCAGCCGATCGTCTATTAAAAGACTGAGAAAAGCGGAATAATGAAATCTTGCTCATATGACAGACCAAACAAGTTATTATACGCATCGACCTAATATATTATAATCATTAAAAACTTTTACTGGGAAAGAAAGATTTTTTTACCAACAAAAGATTGTCTATCTCATCCTTTGAATCAGGGCCTCTTGATTTTATCTGGAGAAAATTAATCGATTAAGCAATTTCCATTATGAGCTCCGTGGGGAGCAGGTATATTATTTATATATTCGAAGGGACTATTCCAATTCATGCTTTCTTAATTAATGAAAAATATACTCGGCAAACGGTTATGCCCATGCTTAATTTAAATATTCTGAAATATTTTAGTGAGCGGCTGATGCCGATTTCGATTTCGAATAGATTTGGCTGCCTACACAATGTGTAACTAGTTTAACGAATTCAAACTAAGTAGTTTCAATTCGGCTGTTTATCTGATTTTCTTGAAGTGGTCAGTCCACTTCCATGTCGTTTATACCGAAACTATGAATATTTATTTAGAAATTGAGCCTGGGGGGTCTAGCATTTTCATCAAAAAGTAAAGGCGAGTTTTACTTAAAAATTTTGTTTGTGTTTCGTTGCATTTTACGAATGGAGTAGTGGAAGAGTATAAGAGGAGAAAGATGGAAATCGCTAAAACAAAACACCTACATAAATTTGGGACTAAAAACAGGAACCAACATGCTTGTAAGCTTCAAATTCGATTTTTAAGTAGAGAAAAAGCATCAGAGAAACGAAAGGGAAACCGCAGTAAAAAATATTAATAAACCGCAGTGATTTATGGGTCTGCTGCAGTGCGGTGCAGACTCGACCACTTGAAAAACGGCCAACCCATGGCCAATCCGCTTCATGGTCTAACCACTATCCGTAGCGGTTTTCGTTATCCTGGCCGTTCATCAGTATCCATGTGGGTCCTAGGTCCTGGCCGCGATTATCGCTCCTACGATCGGCGCCTGCGCAACAGGTATGGCCAGCAGAAAGTGGTAAAACGGCTGGATCTGCAACTTTGTGCCGTGGAAGTATCGATCTTGGGCAGCGGGCGTGTGCATGGCAAATGCTTTCTGATTTATTGGCGTACTGAGTAGCTCTGCCTGTGTGTTGGTGTGTCGGCCTTGGTCACGTTCTTTGTCGTCGTCGGCCGACTGACTTCAAAGGGCCGCGCCGCCACCTGCTGGTTAATAATAGAGGTACCATATTGTGCGCTTGGGGAAGTGGAGGGAGGTTATGGATGTTATGGATGCACAGCGTTGAAAAACGAGAATAAACGATATAAATAGCCGAGAGCCCTGCAATGACTATCGCTTTCTTCACTGGCCTGTTTTTAATTTAATAGGTAAAGATAATTGGTTGCAGAAATATTTCAATTTTCGTGGATTAACAAAAAATACTTTATCGACAGACGTACGAGAATTTGTGCTAGGAGTTGAATTACCCACATTCATTATTCCCCCATTTTATGTGTACCTAAGTATTTTGCCTTATTTTTGTCTGAATATCGTGTCCTTATTTGTGCCCGCTCATTTTTCGTATCTTATATCTTAAGTTGTTACACTTAGCACTCAATCAAGCGCTTATCGATCACACAAATCGTATTGGAATGTTCGTTGTGAAATCACCACACAGAAATCACAGAAAGAGGAACACGAAAGCAAGCAACAAAATTTTTGAAACGATAAATTATGAAACATAGAGAACTGGGATGAAAAATTAAGTTGGCGTGAATGCAAGTCATTTGTTATACTTAGTAGATGGCATTGGAGATTCCAGTGAGTGGTTGTCGCATTTCCTATGACTGTTTAGTGGCTAGTCGCTGACCTCAAACTTTTCGCGTGTTTCGTCACTAGGCGAACCACCCCTCACACTACTTTCTTATTTTTACTTAAGACATAATTTGCTGTTTTGTAAAGTGATTACTTTGGAGCGGAACTGGTACTGTTTGATGTTGTTTCAAAATGTTGCATACACAATCCGCTTGGCGGGCAATTTAAGATTGAAATATTCAAATATTTTCTTTTCCATAGTTTTACCAAATTCGCGGCTCTGCGAAATGCTAATCATTCTGCAAATTAACATCTCGCCTACGGGAGCACACAGTTCTTCGCTTCACCATAATATATGAAAACTTTCTAACCTCAGACAGACACACCCGCAGGAGCAGAAATGGAGGCACAAACGCAGACACCCGATTACCGCGCCGAAAACGAGGAAACAAAATGGAAAGGACCCTGCTCCTCGCTCCGGCGTGGCCATATCCTTTTTCCCTGGCTTTGTGCACGAAATGGCAGAAACGGGATTTTCAAACATATCGCATATACAAAATGCAAACATGTCTGGCAAACACAAATCCCATAAATGTTTTGTGCCCCCCTGGAAGGGAAGTTAGTTGGTTTGGGGGCTTTCGTATGGTTGGTGTACGGTAGTGATAAAAAACTTGCAAAAAATATTTTCATATGTGAAAATGTGTAAAGTATAAAAGTTGTTCTCTACCGTTTGTGGCTGCTGGCTTTCAGGGCTGATTCTTCGGCGTTGTTTTGCCTGCTATTTTCCAGTTTGTTTTTTGCTTAGTGTGTTTTGCCACACTCCTAGCCGCTTTTTTGCACTCCTCTGTTTGCACTATGTGAGCATCAGGTGCTGTGGCAAAAGAAATTACAACAAATCCATTTGTAAAATTGCAAACCGAGACCGAGGCACCGAGGCACCTCCTCCGCTTATTCCGTTGGCTTTGATGGCCTTTTCGGGTTTCTTTTTCGGCCAAAGGATGGCAATGACTGGTTTTCCTGCAGGATGACAGCCCGCTGCGATGAATACTGCTTTGGGAGCACTGGTGGCTAAAAACTCGGTCCTTAATATAATTTTATGGCGGCCCTACCATTGTACGAAGCATTACTATTAAAAGTAATTACTGGTAAAAGTACTGGCAAGAGGGTTATTTTTATTTATCCGTTACAGTCGGTCAAGGATTTTCATAATATTTTATCCAGCTACTGACATCAGAGGATTTATTTCGATCTGTCACTGCCCTTCAGCCCTACAGTAACCAATTAAGGGAGCAGGTACAGCCCCACTCCTTCTCGGCCAGCTTGCCCATGTCATCATGGACTCAAAAATCAAGACGGGAGCTACTCACTCGCTGCCTGTCATTTGCCTGTGCCAACATTCATCTTACTAAAGTTTGCACAGGCTCCTCCAAATCGCACTACCC